CAAAATGACAAGTTATCTAATGGACATCTAAAATGAAGATAGATTGGACTCGTTTACGAAAGTGGATTTTCGATGAGCAAACTTGTTGAATTCAATGAGTCAAAAGTTCAAAAACTTTAAGCTTGAGAGAAAATTTAGCATATACTGTTGGAATCAGTTGTTTACCAATAAAAAGAAGAGGTTTTAAGAGTATTTCTATTGTCTGTCGGGGACTTTAGAAAAGTCCTGAACGTTTAGGCGGAGCGAAAATTCAAGGTGCAAAATATAAAAGAAAGTTGTAGTTTTAATGTTCAAACGTTTTAATTAATTCACCTTTTCAATGGACAATGTCTTTTGCATAAAGTGACATACCGTATTTTGGTAAGCTATACATTAAGGTGGCTGCCTACTTTTGAACGTTCGATTTGAACCCACGATGTGCGCGGGCTCAAAATACGCTGAAAAATCTACAAGATTTTATTGAAGAACCATACGCGTTTTGAGCTTCAACAGGGCAAAACCCTCAAATTTTGCACTGGACTCTGTATTTTTTGATAGCTCATTCGAAAAAACTCATAAAAATCTAGGTTATATCAACATTTTAGGAAAAGTTTAAATCAGGAACACGTGAAAAAATAGATTTTTGTAGGGTTTTTTGTTCGACTTTATGAAATTTTTTAAGAGCACCGAAACTATAAAATATGACAAATCAATGTATCTCTCTGTCTTTTTGTCGAAAATATCCATGTATTATTGTAGAAGGATTGACTAGCCTTCGTTCGTGCAATCATATAGTCTGCAAATAACTATTATCTTATTAATCTTAATTTTTTTTCTAATCACTTCCGATGGCGCAAGTTTTACTTCAAAAGCTAGTGCGTAGGCTTCCATTAAAAGCCGATTATCTCGAAAACGAGCTCGGGACACCCTATTTTTCTTTCCAGGTTTGGAATCAGCATTAAATTTCAATTCGGAAAATCGAAGTTTTAAAAAAAGCTTAAATCAATTTCCAGAAGTAGGCAGTCACCTTAAATAATTGTGAAAAATCATTTCAGTGCCTTTTGTAGTTTTTTCCTCCAGAAATTTTTCTTCAGTACATTTCGGTGCAAATGGTTTATTCTGATTCGTGTGTAAAACAAAATACTCGTCTTTTTCATCATCTTCTTAATCACTTGAACTTAAACTCTACGATAAATGCTTTTTTCGCTGTCTTCAATGTAGGTTCTTTACTATTTTCATCCAATTTTTTGTTTCGGCCCTCAGGCCGAAACAGTCACTACATTCGGTTTGCCGGCCCATAATAGTCTCCGTGCGTGTCATTTAGCTGTCAGAGGTTTGGACCTAATCCAATCATATGCCGTTTCCATCATAAGCAATGGGAAAATGTAAAACATTTCACAATGCGGAGTATTTCGGAGAGTTGCGGTGAATCTTCTCTGAGGTAGTTGTGTAGACTATATTATGCCCTTTTGGATGACGCCATTTTTTGGAAAAAAATATATTATTGATTAACCCTACGACAATGCGTATTTTATTCCTAAGTAAGTATCTAGGTTCAAGTCGCCAAGTAGGTAAGCTATTGAAAAGTTATCCAAAAGCGTTTGTGATTGTGCGGCAAATTAAGGCAATTTGCCAGTCTCAGCTGCCTGTGAGCATAAGTTGAGAAAACTGGTGAGTTTATCTGTGTAACTAACAGTTGATACATATATATTTTGTGAAGCAAGCTTCCGATATGTTGTAGCTTCGTGCACATCTGAGGACATGTTTTTGGTATCATGCAGCTATTATTTAAACTAGGTCCTATAAACAAACAGTGCGTACTTTACAACTTTAAGATAGAAGTCTGAAATCATCAGTTTTCATTTATTAATACTCTGATGTAAAGTATAATTTCTTGGATTCGGTAATATTTTTGAAGCACCAAAAGATATAAATTTTGAGTAGATTGGTGACGGCGCACTGGTCAAAGACAAGCTTTGTATCTTTTTGTTCAAATTGAGACTTTCGCATTTTCTTCAAGCTACGATATAAGAGCTAAATACATTTACCATAAATGTCAAAGAGCAGAATGAAGGTTTAAAAAGTATCCTACATTCAACATAGCGCGTACTGTAATGCTCATGTGCCAAAATATTTTGCCTTTTGTACTCTGCTCTCTGCGATACTCAATCATTGTTTATATCTATTGTCGGATCTCTCATTCGTTCGGCGAAACGTTATGTGTATATACGTTGCCCTGTTTTCCCGATGTTTCAAAGCAAGAACCACTGTGTTTCGTCCAAGAGAATTTTATAACAAATGTTTACATCGAAATTTGCGTAAGACTTTGCAGCGTGGAAGTGTACCGCGAGATCGCTCTTGTGTATTATTTTCAAAATACAGGAGACCCCATTACCACAGAAAGACCAAAATTCTTTATTCAGCAATGCCACACAATAAATAGATAACGGGCCGAAACATCATCGCTTTCGAAGCGATATAGTCTTGTTATCGCTGTTTTCTTCCCTGGCGTCTTCGCAGTTTTTAGCTTGTTCGTATACTGAAAACCATCCTGACTCGATCTTTCTCGATGTTCTTTTCTATCAGTTGTTAAGTTTATTGTTTAATTCGTCTATGAAGAATACATGATTGTTTAATTTCAACTTTTTACTGAGTTTGAAGACATTTTTCTCGTCGGAAACTAAACATTTTTCTCTCACATCGAAGTCACTACAACTCTGAACAATCAGGAATCGCATACTAAAAATAGCTCAGGCTTGCGGGCGGAGGTAAAAATAGATTTTCAAAAAACTTTCATGGTTAGAGACCCATGTATGGGAGATGTGCTCTTTAATATTCTCTTGCTCGTGTACAGTAACATGTTTTGGAAATCGACGAGTCACATCGCGAAATTCCTTGTTACATCAACTTTATGTAAATGGAAAACAAAACCAAAAAGAAATCAAGAAGCCTTTTTTCAAAATAAACTATTACTTGTTGTGGTGGTGGTAAGGGGGGAGGGGGCAGGAATAGGTTCAGCGGATGAATTATTTTAGTGGCGCCAGATTTGGGGAAGGGGGAGGAGGCCCTCTTCCATTCGCCCTCTCCTCCCCTTGCACCCCCTCCCTCCCCAAAGCGCCCCTACGCAGGTTGAAAATCGTATGGACTCTCAAAAATTGGTTTCTTGATATAGATTTATTTTTTGTTTAGGATTTATCCCAAAGGAAAAACCTCCTATGAATGTTGTAGGCGATGTAGGAGGCAAGATTGCTATCATTGTTGTAAGTGCTATTGACCTAAAACAGATCGCCTACGTGTTTTTTGTGATAGTGTTTATCTCACTGTTTAACAGTCATACTATACGTTTTCACTATAGGACGATATCATCGATGATGCTGCAACCTTTGTAGACGCAGCTACCGTACTGCGTGAACGTGGAGCTTACAAGATTTACGTCATGGTTACACATGGACTACTATCGGGTGATGCTCCAGAACTCATCGAGGGATCAGAGATAGACGAGGTATATATAGACAATTGTTACCTATCATAGGTAATACCTGGCACCATATTCTTTTTTATTCAACTGGTTGCATCTCAGAAAACAATTCATAATCTTAATCATAGCATCTCAGAAAAAATACTCTGATCTATTATTCTGATTTCAGTATACTCACGAGGTTCATACCCTCAACTTACCACCTAATTATAGCACCTTTAGCGATTTTTGATATTTTGAGTATTTCTGCCCAATTTGTGTTTAAGGCTCCGGCATTGTTTCAAATTATAAATCGCTTTCAAATAGTATTGTTTTCGAAATATTTAAAAACCTTTAAAACGATATATAGTTTTACATGATTTTGTTTAACTTGTTGCGTAGGGAGAATCTTTAACGAAACATAACCCTTAATAGTGTGTTTGCTTTATTACCCATATTCTCCATTTTTTTTTTTTTTTTTTTTTTTTTTTTTTTTTTTTTTTTTTTTTCTTTTTGCCTAACTTTGTTAATCGCACCTGGGATCTTCGAGGATGAGTACTTTGCTCACACTTCAGAAAATTGGAAGAAAATCTTTATTTTATACAAAGCTGCTAGTAAATCACTTTGAAGTAATGGGAAAAAATGGACAGAAACCATTTTGATATTGTTCCAAAATATTGGGGTCGACCAAAATTCGCCGTGAGCCTTATTTTTGGACCATTTTGTTATGATAACTAACATAGCTATGTTGTTGGTTATCTTTATATCTAAGAAAATTATTTTGTCATCAACAAAACTATAAATTAGAAAGAAAAAATCTTTACTCATCAAAGTTTAGGTTGTCGCGACAAGGCTTCAAATCGCCGTTTCGCACGGAATTTTATAGGATTTTTATAGCTCGCTTTAAAATCGGAAAGGACAGGCTAATATTTGCTTACGACCTCTCTCGTAAATGCTTTCATCTCATATTATATTTTATCGATATTTTTTAATGAATCTCACGCGAAAGTGAGACAATATCAAAACCGGCATTACATTTTACGCTTTTTTACAGTTCTGCGCACTTTTAAAATGAATTGAATGATAAATAATTAATGTATGTYATAATTCATTTCTGAATCGTTCTTGTACTTTTCAGGTCGTCGTCACGAATACTGTTGCCCATGAGTCCAAGATAGCGCGGTGTAGCAAAATCAAATCAATTGACATTAGTCAGTTGTTAGCTGAAGCCATTCGCCGAATACACAACGGCGAGTCCATGGGATATCTCTTCAGAAATGTCCCATTGGAAGATTAGTGTACTGTTACCTTGATATGTATTGAAGTATGTGATTTGTGGGTCAGCCTACGGTGGCCGATACGTGTCTCTTAAAGTCAAAATGCCAGCTTACAGAAATTTAAAATGGAAACACGCTAAAGACAAATCGACGAGTTCTTAGCATATTTCATTTCGAATACTTTTGCTTTACCCCGTTTTCGTATCGGCGACTTTGACTTTGCTCACTTTCGCTCCAGCCTCTTTGACTTCGCCATTCGAGAACCGTCAGTAATAAAAAGCGCCTGTATTTGCTATGTTTCTGTGAAGTAAAAGAGAAGTGATATTTTCACCAAACGTTGAATTTCACATGAGCCTAACCTAAGGACATAAAAGTTGATCCACCGCCATTATCCATCGTCGCTTAGGCAGTATTCATTGTTTAAAGGTCATGTTTGTATATGACAGTTTAACCAGAACCATGATTTGTTTCATTGAAAGAGGCTTACAGGTCGTACATACGAACTCAATAATTAAACACGTTCAATAGCCATATTTCAGATAAAACTCCCGTGCGTCATGAACTTGCGCGAGTGCACTCTTTCCGTTTCGTATTTAAGGCGGCGAAATGCGGGACACAAAATCATGCAACTTGTCGCGCAACATTGTTGTGTTGCAAGTTGAAAATCGTCGTTGCGCGTTTTTCACCCCTAACCATCAACGAGTTCGAGTTTGCTGGAAGGTATTACCAAGTAAACAAACGTATTGTAGTTGGTTTTTCAAAAAACCGCTAAAATCCTGGGAAATCCGAGCCGGAAAACCTGTTGGCACAGCGGCGATCTCAAAAGTATGCAAATGTTAGGTCGCGGTAATTATAGTGATTGGGAACGAGGTTATTCCGGGCGAAAGACCCTTGGAAATAAATTGGGAAAAATTAATTTCCGACCTCGCTGGGAATGGAACCCACGACCTTCGGAATTGTACTATCGATGCTCTACCAGCCGAGCTAGAGGTCAGACTGAGAGCAGGCCGGGATGAAATAGATGTTAGGTCGCGGTAATTATAGTGCTTGTATTTCATAAGTGCTACGCGGTCCAAATATTCTCATCTTTGCATCATAATTATAGCGCTTGTATTTCATAAGTGCTACGCGGTCCAGATATTATCATCTTTGCATCATAATTACCGCGACCTAAGATCTATTTCATCCCGGCCTGCTCTCTGTCTGACCTCTAGCTCGGCTGGTAGAGCATCGGTAGTACAAGTCCGAAGGTCGTGGGTTCCATTCCCAGCGAGGTCGGAAATTAATTTTTTCCAATTTAATTCCAAGGGTCTTTCGCCCGGAATAACCTCGTTCACAAGCACTATAACTTATCTATATTTCTAAATCTTGCCTTTCTGACTTCATTATTGTCGGTCTTTCTTTGATTAACGGCAACAATGATTGTGGCAAGACCAAAGAAATGCGGCTTATTCACCTATTGCGCACTCTTAGTCCCAACGGGATTAATGAACGCTTTGCTTTCAACTCTTTCTTTTGTCTTTTGTTTCCTTGCCTACCTTGTTCTCACTGGTTTCTATTGTCTTATTCTATCATATAWACACTCCTTTCTACTACCTCATTCTCTTTTACTTTTACTTTTATCGTTTTTTGGTTAAAATTTGGTTGGACTGCCGGGCATTTAGCCACAGCGTATAAAAAAAGCTTATAGATTGCAAGCGCCATAACCTTTTTAAAGGGTAATACCGCTGATTGCTCGTCCCAGTTTCCATTCCCCATTCCCGGTCATTCCTCATTCTCCGTTTTAGTTACGTACATATTATTGTCATGTAAAATATTTTCGGGGGTAAAAACCTTTTCTTGACCGGAATAAAACTACATATAACCTTCTTGGTGATCGGTCACTGCAGGACAGTTGCTAAAATATTATTGGCTAAAAGATTTTTTTTTCGACACAAAAATGGGAAAGGAATTCAGTGCTCCATTGAGCAGACGTTATTGGGGAGGGAATTTCGGACCAACACTTTTGCAAAGGAGACTACAGGTACAAGTTTGTTTTAAAAAGGTTAATCCTACTATAGAGTTTCCCTATTACTATAATTCAATTTCAAGCAGTGCCAATAATCATCGATAAAGTTGAACTATTATGCAAACTGTAAATACAATGAATACACGTTATTCCAAAATAACAAAACAAAGAAGATTTTAACCTTAACTGACATTTACTTAAGCGCCTTGACATACATTTTTCAAAAAAGGATTCTAAGCGTAACTATTTAGATAATCTCTCGTTTCTCTCCTCTGTTGCGTCAATTTCTCTTTTTTTTATTTCTGAACGTGATTTTGAATGAGAGCGTGATCGAGATCGGGACATGGATCTTGAGCGCGGACCACCTCTCCGGGAACGCGATCCCGAACGAGATCGAGATTTGGAGCGCGTTCGTGATCGACTTGTTGAATGAGGACGAGGTTTCCTATCACGACTACGACTTCTGCAAGAAAAAAACAGAATTCTAAATGTTTAAGCAGTTTTAGCGGAGCACCATACCYGAGAAAAATTGGCAACCCATCGAGTCGATATTATCATCTACTACGTCACTTCCGTCCGTACATACTTACGTCCGGGTATACAACAGTTATAACGTCTTGTATAATGTTTTACCTTTTCCATTTCGTAAAAACGATATCGGCAAAATATTGGATTGCGCTTTAACATTATACAAGACGTTATAACTGGAACACCGTAAAGTCGACTGTTTGAATGACGAAATGTTGGATGTCAAATTTGAAAAATACAACAGCGTACAAATACTTGAAAGTCAAATAACATATGTCAAATAAAAACTAAGAGTTTGAATGTTGACCCCAATTGTACGCCATAAAGCACATGGTTACCTTCTTCTTGACTCTCTACTTCTCGATCGGTTATTACGACTCCTGAAATAAAAGTACATCCACATATGAGTTTCTAAAGTCGATTACCGTCATCCGGTTGGCTCAGTTGATTACAGTCAATTCAAAAAATTTTGTCGTCGACCAACTCAAGCCTACGCGACTGGACCGAAAGGAACTCTGGGTAGTAATCATTGACGCCGAGTTGACTCCATAATTTTATCTGACTAGTTATGCCTGGTTGACAGCACGAACCTTCGTAGGCGAGTGGGAAGTGTTGAAGGAGACGTWTTTTAAATGCCTTCATATATTCGAAATTGTGAACTGAATAATAAGTACTTTGTTTTTCTTTCCCTAAACCCAAAGACATGCATTTGATGGATTGTTTCTCGCCATTATTATCTTATTACTAGCGGGAACAATTTATTCAGAACGAATATTTAAACCGCTTCAGTGATTTTTACCCATATTCCTTTCGGTCCAGTCGCGTAGGCTTGAGCCGGTCGACGACAACGTTTTTTGAATTGACTGTATATAGGGAGGAGTTCAAGCACTGGCCGTAACAAAGCTCGGGCTATGAAGATAACTGAAAAAGTGATGCCTTTGTAACAATATGTACAAAGGATCAGATCTTCGATTCCTCTAATCAAAGATGTATAACCCGCAAGTCCCGTCTTTTATCACTGCTAACCCTATACATATAAAGTGATGTCGAAAAAGTTTGGTTAAGGTTTTGCAGCAAGTTGCAATGTTGCATGCCAAGCCCAAACTGCAGTATGCTGGATTCTAGTCAGGAATGGTCACAACCACATGAAATTTTAAAGCCATAACTATAAATTCCATATCTGGTGTCCGTTTCAGGCTCGCTTTGCCTGATTTCAAGCCGAGAAAAAAATTAGCATGCATAGAGTAGCATGCATTGCATGATTTCAGGCCGAGAAAAAAAGTAAGACTAATGGCAATGATAGTTTGGCAATGGAACTGCGCACGTTTTGATTGAGAACAAATGTTGAATAAAAGGAATAACTAACATTACAATATTCCTGTGACCCGAACTCAGAAAAAATTCTGAGCTCCATTTTCAAACATTTTGTCCAGATAGAACTTCCTTCTTTATCTCGTGAATGCTTAAGGTGGCTCCAATTTTGAGTTTAAACTGGATATTAATCACTAAAATCTTCGAAGCATTTATTATAAACAAAGTGAGAACTAGGTAATAGACGACTGACCAGCCTCGGTTCCATATTTAGATTCGGTGTATGGTTCTCAACACCACTCAATATCTTTGACATGTTTCGTTGTTGTCTCTCAGAGGCAACCGAATAAGGGTCAAGGCTTTTAAGACCTTTATGGCCACTCAGTTGAGCGACAATGTTGTGTGGAACACCAGCTTCCAGGAGTGTTGTGATACCAGTTTTTCGCACGGAATGGTTGGTAATTTTACCGGTTTTTGACCTCGTAAACTTCAAATCTTTTGTTACTTGAGACAGGAATTCGCCAATCTTGTTCTTTCCCATCGGTCTGTTTAGGAAGCACAGTTGATCATTTGGCTTCCTTCTATGGTTCATAGCAAGAAAAAACGGACTTTCTGGACTTTTGGCTTCTTCGGGACGCCTGTAAACAAACTGCTTATAGCAGGCCACAGGACATTTCTTGTCGCCGCTCTCATAAGCTCTTGGTGGGAAAGCTCTCTGGTGTTCATTTTCATCGCCGTGTCTGGTTTTAGTTTCTCTTTCTTGGAACCACTCTACATACTCTTCGTCATTTATTTCACCTTTCTTAAAAAGTATTTCTGCAAACTTAAGCTGTCTCGCTTCATGTCGTGCTCTATGACCAAAGTGCAAGTATTTTTGAATCATGGACTCCAAACTCGTTTTCATTAAAAATAGCATCAATATCTTTGCTTGTCAGAGGAGCAGTAGCACTTGTCTCGTTTCCTTTGCCTTCTTTTCTTAATTCTCGTCGTCTGGACATCAAGGCTTGTCTGGAAAGCTTAAACTCTTCATCTTTTAAGATGTTTAATTTTGCATTTTTATCGTCGAGGTATCGCTGGATACTTCTCGAGAAGGACGACATTGTATCATGTTCGCACAAAGTATTGTCTTTCTTTTTTGCCTTTATGGTAAAGTTGGAAAGCAGACTGTCAAGTTGGAGCGGAGGGATATTCTCAATTTCTCTTTCTTCACCACATTCTTGTAAAAAGCGCTTCAGTACGTTCATGTCATACTTAGTTTTGTTGATTGTACTTGTTTTCTGTTGTGCTCGGATGTATTTCTGTATTTCATCGTCATTGAGCAGATTTGACTCAAAATATGTCGCTTGCTGAGCCAGTTCAGTGTCAGATATCTCTTCTGGATAGTAGAATTCGCTTTCGTCGTGTTCGCTTAAATTGTCGGTCATTTTAGCTTCTTTTTAAATGAAGTTTAATGGTTACATCCGAAGAGGGCCGGACGGGTTTTGAGCAGGGCCGGACGGGTTTTTCCGGCCCGCTTACGTCAACCCGTCCGGCCCCCATCACGTGACTTTTTCCAATGGTTTTATTAGA